CCTACGTTACTTACGGTAGGTAGTTACGTAGTCTAAGTAGTAAGAAGGTAAGGTACGGTACGTAAGTAATAATAATTAATTATAAATAACTAACTACTACTATATATATATATATATATATATATATATATATATATATATTGGAACACATGGAGGGGATAATACATTTTCAAGACAATTGGAAACAATGCCATAAATTGATTAATAAAACTTTGATACCAAAATATAAATCTTCAAAGGCTCTGAAAAGGATGACAGGAGTTCAAATTCTGAAAAGTGGCATGACAATTATGTTGTACTCTTCTTGTTTTTGACACGATATTTATGTTTGGACAAGATTCTCTGACTAAGAAGAGAAAATTCTGAACATCGTTTCCTTTGGGAGGTCACATTATGGAGAAACATATGATGCCATAGATTAGAATCAGGGTGTCTTTTCAAATAAAAAGATAGCAAGTGAAGCTTTTAAAGCAGATGAATACTCGTGCAATTTCTCAGTAATTGAAGGCGCATAGGTGGAACCTAGTTTTCCAACATATTTCTTATATCTATGTAATATGAACTGCAAATAGAAAATGTTCTACACCATTAATTAATCAAACAAAAGGTAATCCTGCCCCTGCTGGTATTGTAGGTATACTTCATGATGATAGTAGCAATGTTCTCATGATACTTTGAGGATCATGTAATCTGTGTACTGCCAATGAAGGTGAACTTAAGGCAGTAGTGCAAGGTTTTAAATGCATTCATCCACAGTACCAGAATATTATTGACGGAGATTTAGCAAATATTATCATTGGTGTACTGGTGTACAGCCTTTGATAAAATAAAACAACTTTTTAGCGATAGGGAAGTCGGTTTTGTGCATATAAATAGAGAAAGAAATAAGGCTAGAATGGTGTTCAGCAAGATGGTTTGATGGTTAACAAATTCAGGGTACACTTGTTTCACAAGCTTTGCAAGATTAACAAAATTTAAAATGAGCATTCAAAAAATGGAATTAATCGAACACTAAAATGACCAGATTCTTAATAAATTTGGGCTCTTTTGTCTTTTCCCTTTAACTAGAATGACCAGTCCATAAAACCAAAAATGTTCTTGAATCGTGTAGAGTATGTGATAATTTTCAGAGAAGTCAAGAATCTCGAATACATCTTTTCCTTGCTCTGATAAGGATGCACTTACCTGAGACTTAGGAGAAGGGAATACATTCCAAAACCGAAGTGTTTCATCTCCCGCACCTGTCACAATAGTCTGAACAAGAAGTTCGACGAGATCAACACACACATCAAACATATTTATGGTTGATTCAAACTTATATTGTTATTTATTCATCATTTCACCAAATTGATAACATACCTGCCCATCAGGCGATATGGCAAGATAAAGCACCCTCAATGTATGACCAGTCAGTGTGGCTAACTGTTTGTACAAATAAGGCAGCATACACTAATCAGCATCTTTTTTCGTATAGAAAGATGGACACACAAGAAAAACCAAAAAAAACTGAGAAAAGCATGGACAGTTAGTTTAGTACCTTTGACATGGTTGGATATCGCCACACAATTATCTGATTTTGAGAGTAACCATGAGTGCTAACAAGTTCATTCACATTCTTTGACCAAACAAGATTGCATACCTGCACAACATATTGGATGAGGGTTTATAATCAATGCTCGGCAGGCTCTTAAAACATCAGGTCTTTGGGTGGCAGTCACCAAAAAGGGAAATAAGATATTTGTAACTAGTCTGACCTTAAATGGGAAAATCATGACCCAACAATAATAACATCCGGAGGGAGACATGGATTATTCTTAAAGTTAAGTGAGCAGAATCTCTCTGATATATATATTTATGGACAGTATTTGTTGAAACTACAAATCTTAGTTTACACATTTGGACACATATATTGCATGAGCTGACTATTTGAAACGGGAAGCCGACAATATATAATTGCAAACTAAGTAAATATAAACAGAAGCCATAAAATACAAATGAGTAAACTGGGTTGAGAAGGGAGAGGGGTAAGTAGGCTATGAGAAATCCAAGATTTGACAATCACGTTTAATGAACAGTGGACACTCCAAATTTTTTTTTGGGAAATAAGAGTAGGCTTTGTCATTTTAATATCACCTTCAAGTCTTCTATTTCAAATATAAGAAGAAGCCAATTTAATCATTCACCGTTATAAGGAAAAGTATTACTCATGAGGAATTCTATAACTGAAAGCTACCTTTTGAGAACAACTGAGATCATACTGATTACATGTAATGGAACAAGCTGAGCTAAATGCATGGACCTGGGCCATCCAATGTCATACTAAGGGACCAATCCAGAAAGTTTCAAATTATGAATGATTAGCTTTGTCCAAATGTATTTGCATCTTTATTAATTGTAGACAATTGGGTCCTGTTTGGACGACCCCTTTTTTAGCCATAGCAACAAAACTGCCATTTCCTTTTCCCTAAGTCGGTTTCATGCCAGCTTGGCAAGCCACTATCCACAATGCAAGTTAAGGAATGGAACCCCGCTTATCGGTAAAAGACCCTGTCTTGGCCTTACAGATAAAATTTCTAACAAAAAACAATCCCTCTTTTGCCACTATTAACAAGAACTTGGATATTGTTCCATTTGATTATTAAAGAGTGCCTATTTTCACGACTGCCCATAAACACAACTGCACTTGAGGCTTAGAGCTACCGGGATGTGTAAAGAGCTACCAGGATGTGTAAAGTGGGGACTTGAGGTAAGAATCCATGAATCTACTTTTATAGGGAACAAAAAGGCAGAGGTGGTAGAGAAAGGTTCGAGAACAGAGCTTTAAAACTTGAACTCAGTAGGCAACTCGGCAAAAGACCAAGTCAACTCGCCAAGGCAAACAGTAAAGAAAAAAAAATTAAAAGAGGTTTCCCAAATATTTTAGTGTAGAATTATAAAAGAGAGAGAATACATGTGTTAGGGAATCGAACCCACCTCAACACATAAGTGATCTGCAGTGCAACTGCATGGGAAGAGACCATCTATTGGTCGAATCAAATACACACACATATTAGGAAAAACTGGGACACATCCTGAATTTTCATTTTGAGAACTTCTCCATAGGACAAGTTGAGTTTATTCAGATGAATTTTTCCACCAAACGAGTTTTTATTCAGTAGTAAAGAATAACGAGTATATAAAGTCTTCCAGCTAGAAAATGCTTATAAGATGACCACGCCCAAGAAAAAGAGTTAGAACACAACTGCAACCCGCAATATTTTCTTCATAGAAATATAGGTATCTACTTATCAAAGCTTTCAACTATTGACCATATCTCTATACAGGGTAAATTGCACATGATAAAGCAAGCATCCAGAAACTCAACATAAATACACAATACCAAAGGGTTTTGCAATTTGGACTTTGCAATCACCACCCATACAGTAGAACACACAAAACCCTGGATGTCTAGGATTTTCACACATGTACATGGGTGCAAAAACATACGGGTGCAAAAACATACGGGTGCAACTAGTACTTCCAAAAATAAATAGGCAAGAAGAACCGGTAATAATTTCTATTGGTGCCCATATTGCTTCCACCCTCACCCAAAAAGCATAGGTGACAATACCAGACAAACAGTGTTTCTTTGTTTCCTACACAAATTCAGGTAGGAACAGCAAAACAACAGGTACCAATAGCAATTCCCAACTAAAAACGTGATAAAGTAGGAAACGTTTACCTGACTACCAGTGTCCATGCAACTTAGATGGGAATTGGAGGTCGTATTCCAGAAGCGTATGCATCGGTCTGCTGTGCCACCTCCAGAAGCCAAAAGCCCATGCATGTGAGGAGACCATGCAATGGCTTTCACAGCAGCTGTGTGCTCACTGAATTTTAGAACAGGTTGTGTTGAATGCTGATTCCAAACAAAAAGCTGTCCCCAAAATTGCATTACAATAAATGAAAGAAGAATATCAATTAAGATGACCAAGGAAATTGATTGCACCACAAATATCTCTCACTAGAATAGTAGACTATAAAGAAGAAACAAATTCAATTAAAATAAGCAACAAGCTTGACTTTAAAGAGTATATCTCTCTCTAGAATGGAGGAGAAATATAGAAGACCACTCACTCTATTATCATTTCCCCCTGATGCCAGTTCACGATTATCAAATGACCACTTGAGTCCACACACCTAGTAATCAAGAGCACCAGTTAGTTATCATGAAGTTCAAAATAGATAGTGAAACAAATGCAACATGAAAAGCTTACAAAACATTGAATTTTGTGAAATGCCTACACATTGATTAAGAATAAAATAAAGCAATAGCATAGAAATGCATATATTACACAACGAATGGCTGTAAAGAAAACCTGGAAAGAGCCTGTAGAAGGAAAAAATTATAACTATTCTTACAGAAAAGGGTGCAAGTGACAAGATTTTGATAGTATATTGACCAAGGCCAATAAGATTCTTCTAAGAAAAACAAAAGACGCTGGATCCTAGATCTCTCGGGCTCTGGCTCAAAAGGACAACGCCTAAACTTAGCTCTTCCAACACCCATGCCCCTCAGGTGTTGAGAAAGCAGCCAGGGGCCGCTTGAGCAACAGTCAACAGCTTTCGCTAGTCCGGAGGGAAGCGGGAATGTAATAATGCTGAAGCCAACGCACTTCATGTTTCTTTCAGTAATTTACAAAGATTATTTCATTTAATCATAAGGTAAAGCTATACAGGACATTGAACTTAGGCAATAAGTAAAACCTTATCAATCTTCGACAAACAAGTACTCCCTACTCACCCCCCATTTGCCCCTCCCAGAACATGATGAAAGAAACCAAAACACTTCTTATGGATCTTAAGTTGTGCTTTCAGGAATTCATGGGTCTACTCATTTTTGTTCTTTTTAATCTGTTAACTTTGTATTAAGTAAAAGAGCTGTACAATATACAACAAATATTTTCCTCAAGGGACAGAAGAAGGCCTTAGGCCATGTCAAAAAATGCTATACAACCCAGAAAACATCAGTAAAGCAAAAAGGAACTGAAACAAAGTCTTCTACGATATGGCTTGGGAAGCGCCCTCCTTAGCCAGTGCGTCGGCCACATGATTGGCCCCCCGCCAGGTATGACTCCAAAAGACCTAAATACGATTGCAGATGTCAAAAATCTCATCAAAAATAGTAATGAGCCTCCAAGTGGGGGTGGCCTCGCATGAGGCCTAGGAGCTGACATTTTTAGAGTCACCCTCTACAACCAAGACTGTGCTCCAAGAGGAATAGAAAGATTCGAGGCCTTCCAAAAGTGCTCGGACTTCTGTCGTGGTGGAGTCTGCAAGACCCATGGGGCAGGTATAGGATAAGAGAGTGACACCATCAAGGTCCCTAAAGATGCCCCCTTTACCAGCTGGATCCAGGTTGCTGTGGGAGCAGCCGTCAAAATTAAGTTTGGTTTGGCCAGGATTAGGGGGCCTCCAAAGGAACGAGCGGGGGACGGGTCTGGGATTGTAGTAAAGCATAATACACTAGGGTCTACTCATTGTTGAAGGGGATTCCTGGAATGTCTTTCGGTGGACCCATGGACATGACCATTCCCGTGGAGGATTGCTGACATCATGGACAAGATCCTCAATCTATGCTAAACTGATCGCATTCAACATCGCGAAAGATGTTGCACATGTTGGAATGTAAGCCTGGTCATTTTGTAGAGCTGGGTCGCCCTCCTCAGTGACTCTCCTCCCCCTTCCCCAAAACCTAACAAGCACAACTATCATTGTCAGCTCCAAGGTTCCTCGTTGGAAGAACAACATGTAATGAGTTCTCCCTCCTTTTGTATGTTATCTCTCAAGTCTCAACTAAATAAAGAGAAGACCCTCTAAGGATAGTGGCTAAGCAATCATTGAGCATCCCCCTCCCCCTCCCCCAAATCCATCTCCCTCCCTTCCTACCTTCCTCCCTCCCTAAAACCACCAAGCACAGCTATTGCAGATCCAAGGTTCCTCTTGGAAGAACACCATGTAATGGCCATCCTTTTGTGTGCTCTCTCTCCCCCTCCCTCAGAAGACTTTCTAAGGACAGTGGCTAAGCAATCATTGAGCAGCCCCCTCCCTCACTCCTTCCCCACAGCTATCGTTGTCAGTTCCAAGGTTCCTCTTGGAAGAACAACATGTAATGGGTTCTCCTCCTTCCCTCCCTCCCTCCCTCCCTCAAACACATTATCTGTGGCCAATGTTTGGACTCAGACCATTGGCTAGGCCATCCATGTAGAATTCATCATTCTTGTATTTAGTCAATACATGGAATTGTGAATGTCCAAAAGCGAATAATTTGATGGAAGCCAAGGCATGTATGTCATGTTTAAATTTGGTAGTTGTTTTTTACCCTGAACTCAGTTATTGGTAAAGTGAAGAGGGACACACAAAAATGCACACACATATGTGGGCAAACGCGCGCGTGCGCACACAGAGAAAGGAAGAGGGAGGAAATCCGGAAAACACGTGTACAATTGATTGCCAACCACAATAGATGTTTGAGAAATTAATCATGGTATGATACATTGCCCACATTTCCTAGATGTAATGTCATAAATAACTTCTGAGCTTTTCTCATGTTCTGACTCATAATGTAGGACTAGGAATCTAGAAACATGGTTTTATCTACTAAACTCTTGATCATGCAAATATAGAAAAAATAAAGATACATTAAGGAGCTGAAGATCTTTTAACCCTCATATTAGTACTGTGATGAGTAAAGAAAGGCCTGGGATACATGATAAGTACAGGAATAAAGGATAGAACTGTATGGGGGTATAGTGTTTATTCTATTAAACTTATGTATAACCATGAATGAGGTATTGAGGAGAAATTCCCATTTTAGTTACCAAGGCTGAAAGAGGCTTAACAATTGCTGTGAAGGATTTCAAATCAGAAGCTTTGCTCTGGCTAATATGTGTGTGCTTTGCATGGAGGAGGAATACATTAATCAAATTCTAGTTCATTGTAGCATCAGCTTAACTCCGCCATGGCTAGACCCAAGCCTAGAGATATCGTAAAATTTTGCCACATCTTTTCATGAGTCCTGAAGTCTGCCTGAGGGTATGGCCCTTAATAGAGCAGAATGGCGGCACAAGATTCGTGTAGCCAACCCCAAATAGTTGGGATAAGGCCCAGAAGATGGTGATATTGATAACTGTAGCATCAGCTTCACGCATGATGAATGTTTTTAATGCTCCCTTTTTCATGTTAATGCATAGTTACCGGGATTGGGAGCGAGGTCAGATCCTAGTTCATGATTGGGACAGTGGGATCGAGAGATGCAACGAAGTTAAGTGGGAAAGGGGTTGAGATTCGTATCTTGTGAGTTAAAGGGATGTGATCTCGATATGAAGGGAGCGCGATCCTTTTTTTTTTTTTTATTGTAAAGGTTAACTTGTATTGAAAGAGGAAAAACTGTAAATACAAAAAACTAATCAGAAAAGACGGCAACCCACAAGTTGGATGCTCAGAAATACAAACAGATGCAGAACTATAGAGATTAGAAAAGATTGAGCAGAAAGAGGGAGAGTGAGGGTTGAGAAGATAGAGAAGAGATAGAATTAATCTAAGGATCTAACACAAAAAGAACAATATATGAAACAATGTGGGGAGGTGGTCTCAGTATACTTCTAATCTTCACAGGTCCATGTAATGACTAGGGGAGCTTTTTTCGGCCTTCTTGTTGTCCCCTGGGGTCCAAAGTTTGAGATTGACCAGTTGCCGAAGTGTCTCTTAAGTATTGACGGGTGCTTCGATTGATTTACAGTGCTTCGTCTAACAGCTCTACCCTGGCGGGTAGATAAATTAAAGGACACTACTGGCAAGGAAAGTCCCAAAAAAGTGTAAACGTGATTTATGTACCTAAGAGAATGGTAAAAGTACCAAAAACAGAACACGGATATAAAGAACTCTCACTTTTTTTCTTTTTTTTTGTTCTTTTTTTGCCTTTCTTTTTCTCACCAGACCTTTAAAACCCCAGACCCTTTTTTTTTTTTTGGGGGGGGGGAGAGAGGCCAAAGACAAAATAGAAATAGCAGTTAAGATGAGAAGAAAACAAGAAAGAGGAATAGACAGTGAGAGAAAGAGGGAAAGAAGAAAAAAGGAAAAAGAAAGAGGATTTCAGTGGGCGAGAGATGAAAAAGAATCAGAGGTTTGGAGATGCAGCAGCACCAAGTGAGGCCCCTTCCTTTGCTAACCGAACAGCCTTTGTGTTTTCCTCTCTAAGAATGGGATTGAAAGAGACCTGTGGAAGTGAGCTGCACAGAAAGAAAATATGCTAAAAAATTGGAATGAGCCTCCAAGGAGGCTGCTTATGTTTGTGTAGCCCAAAGAACAATGTTTGTTGAGTCTGGCTCAACGATAAGCCCTTGATATGCTGTAGCCAACTGGCCCACCTTTTTGAGACCTGTTAAGAGGGGGCCGAAGCCTCTGCAAATGTGGAATCTTGGAAACCAATATATTCTGAGAAGGTCCATATGATAGACTTTGCATCCGTAAGTAAACCACCAGTTCCCGAGGGGCCAGGGTTTCCTAGCAAGGACCCATTTTTGTTCAGCTTAAGAAATCCTGAGGGAGGGGGGTGCCAGTTAGGTCTGGATCCGTGTGTCTGGGCTGATAGGTAAAGCAGGCTGTCCCAATTGTTTAGGAAGTGGGAAATAGACAAGTTGGCAAAACAGAGGATTGCTTTGGCCCATAAGGAAATGAGGGAAGTGAGAGTGAGGAGTGAAGACCAGAGGAGAAAGGAGATTTCACAGTGTATAAAGAGGTGAGGGATTGACTCCTCCTCTTGGAGGCAAAGAATGCACCTCTTGGGGAAGGAGAATCTCTTTTTTGAAGTTGGTTTAAAGTTAGAGTTTTGCCTTGGAGAAGGTCCCAAATGAAGGCCTGAACTTTGTGTAGTATTGGTAGGGACCAGGTTTGGTTAAGCAAAGGCTTGGGGATCTGGTTCAAGAGGAGAGAAGAATAGAAAGAAGAGACTGCGAAGGAGCCCGAATGGGGAAGGTGACCAGAGTAAAGAATCTGGTCGAAGAGGGCTGAAAAAGGAATGTAAGATCAGAAGGAGAGACGTGAAAGAATTAGATTCTTGGTCAGAAAGATGACGCCTAAAAATGGGTGCCCAAATCAGATTATCACCTGAGAATGTGGCGTAATCAGAAACCAGAGCC